TACAAAAAAAAAAAAAAAAAAAAATTAGGAAGGTGAGAAAAATTGTTAGTTTGCAATGCATAATATGAATTGTGTTTAACTTGTTGATGTCTTGGAGGGATACTGTGTCAATCAAAGGGGTGATAAATTGTCCAAACATAATTTACATTGCAATTTTTTATTTTAGAGACAATATATATAATATTTTGATGTTGGACAAACCTGTATTTGATATGATCTTGCTTTAAGATGGCCATATATCTGAGACAGACTCACCTGCAGCCTACTCTACCGATTATCAGCCAGATTAAGTCAGAGATTTATTTCAGTAGTTTATGTGCTATTATATCATGGTAATTGATAAAGTTTGTTTTTCTATCAGGCTATGTGGATATCCTCCATTCTATGACGAGAATGATGCGGAGCTGTTTAAACAGATTCTGAAGGCTGAATATGAATTTGAGTCTCCATATTGGGATGAAATCTCAGACTCTGGTAAGATGTCTTGCTACAGTTTACTTTCTATAGTTTACTTCCTACTAAATTTTCTACAGATTAGTCTACAGATCACTTTCTACAATTTACTCTCTACAAATTATTTTTTAGTTTACANTGTTTAAACAGATTCTGAAGGCTGAATATGAATTTGAGTCTCCATATTGGGATGAAATCTCAGACTCTGGTAAGATGTCTTGCTACAGTTTACTTTCTATAGTTTACTTCCTACTAAATTTTCTACAGATTAGTCTACAGATCACTTTCTACAATTTACTCTCTACAAATTATTTTCTACAGTTACCGTCTAGATGAGAAATACTGAATGTAAAGAGGAAAAAATAGATGGAAGTAGAATAAACAGGGGGGATCCAGAGACATTTTCTGACAGTCTTCCAAATTATCTTTGTTGATCCATCCTCAATTTTTGACCGTCTTCTGACAGAAAAAATTATAAACCCATCAATGTAAACTTGAAAATCTGACAGTCTTCCGGAAGACCCAGAAGATGGCCTCTTCTTCCGGAAGACCCAGAAGACAGCCTCAATCCACCCCTGATAAAGGTGCATCAGTGTTTTGCTCTCACCCCTCAACCCCCTTAACCCCACTTACTAACCCCCCTCTCTTTTCCCCTGGTGTCACACAGCTGAGGCTGTCATACAACATTTATTATTTAACTTTTCAACCTCTTAGAGATATAAGTTGTTGTCCAGGGATTGCTATATGACCTGTCATAGTATATCTGGTACATGGTAACTATGATCAGTTTTACTGCAGTGAATTAGGTCTATCACGTCCCTGGTCAGCCCACTTATTATATCTGGTACATGGTAACTGTGATCAGTTTTACTGCAGTGAATTAGGTGTATCATGTCCCTGGTCAGCCCACGTGTTATTAGATCCAGTTTTCTTCATTACCTGGAAGGAGAATTGATTACTTCTGAAATCAAGTGTATTGGACCACAATCCTCAGACAGATGTGCCACTGTATTTGTGATGTATGTTAATTGCCCACTCAATTTGAACAATACTTTTTATCTTTGTGTTTGTGTATGTGTATGGGTGGGGTGTTTGAAAAAGTTCTGAAATGAGAGTCAGGATCTGACAAAAAAAAAAAATCCAAAGTAGGAACATATTACATGTTTAAAATGTTATTAACAATAAGATGTCAAATCAAACCGTTGTCGTGTTGTCGAAGAAACTGGAGACAGGTGCTTGTGGGCGAGGACTTAAGTCTGAGGTGGTCCTCCTGCATGCCGTCTCATTGTGCAGTGATGTGTCATCAGAGACACAGATATCAAGGCAGCAAATAGATTCTAACAGCCATGCTAACATAGAAGGGCACCCACACACAGTGAGAGGTTGACAAGGGCTAAATTAGCAGACATCTATGATGCTTGCACACAGATGGGCACATACATGCATACACGAAGGCAAATGCAGACATGCAAGCATGTGCATAAGTAAACATGCATGCACGAAGGCAAACTCACATATGCAAGCATGCACACAAGTAAACATGCATGCACGAAGGCAAACTCACACTTGCAAGCATGCACACAAGTAAACATGCATGCACGAAGGCAAACTCACACTTGCAAGCATGCACACAAGTAAACATGCATGCACGAAGGCAAACGCACACATGCAAGCATGCACACAAGTAAACACTTTCCAGCAGAGGCACATGCAGACGCACAAAAACACAAACACCGTCAGAAGCAGATAGGCTTAGGAAACAGTCAGCAGACAAAACCAACACAGATATAGTCGGTGAGTAAATAGTTGCTCCTGAAGACATAAAGGAATTTCAAAAGACAGCCATCACTCATAATGACAGTTTACCTGGCTATGATTACCAGGTCTGGAGCCAGCAATTTCAAAGGGAGAGGGGTTGGTTTCTGAAAAAGTGGACCTTTTATGCTGAAATCTTTGTGTACCTGGATCCAATTTTTATTCAGAGTGGCAAAGAGGCAAAAAGGGGATTCATTGCCCCCCCCCCCCCACGAAACCCCCTGCCTACAGTCCTGATTACTGAGATAGACTAGATAAATGCACCTTAGTAATCAGTTTTATTCTGCACTTTCAGCAAAACACTTCATTAGGCACTTGATGTGTAAGGATCCCAAGAAACGGCTGACGTGCAAGGAGGCCATTGCTCACCCCTGGTACGTTCACACTTTTCTCCATCTCTCTCTCTCTCTCTCTCTCTCTCTCTCTCTGTCTCTCTCTTAAACTCTTCTCAGGTTCCTGTATTTTTTTAGATATATTTGTGATATGATGTATGAATTGATATTTATTATAAAGCATGTTTTGGCCATGATATTTTAGCCAGCAAAAAGCTGTGTTGATAGAAAATAAATAAGATGTGAGAAACCAATCAGTCACATTACTTGTCTTTTAAGTTAGCCCTTCCACTTTCTGACTTGTAATGCCTCAGTCAGAGGTTCAATCAAATCTGTAACTTAGAAGTCCCTTATAGACTTCAAAACAGTGTTTTAAAGCGTCTCGCTTCACAGTGCACACCTAATACTGTTAATATGGTTAGAGGGATGCTGTTATGAGAAAAAATATTCAGTGAATTTATCTGCCTTTTGGAGTTAAGAAGTCAGTAGGAAAATCAATAGTTTTCAAAGGTTTTATCGTTTGATCATAAAAGCATGACATGAAATCAATAGTATTAAAAGATACTGATAAGCTCTTTGACTGCCATCTGTAGAGTTCGTGCACTTTTTAAAAGGGTTAATTTTACTTAGAAAGCTTTTTTGGATGAAGTAGATTTTTGTTGAAATAGAACTGTGGTATTTCACGTTCAGACATTTTGTCTAAGAAATTTCCTAATTTCCTCATTGAGTTAATTGAGTAAAATATATACTTTGATATCTGCTTTTCTATCACTGAGGTGTGGTGCCTCTCTCTGTCTCTCTCTCTCTCTCTCTCTCTCTCTCGCTTTTATTCTCCCTGTTTGTGTGTGTGTGTGTGTGTGTTTGTGTGTAAGGGAGAGAGAGATGCATACATCCATCTGATTTATCTGAATTAGTCAAAGAGATACCTTGGTGTTATTCATATAATTCAAGTTAATGAAGCACTTTCTGCTCTTGCCTTTCAATCTAGGATCTCTGGCGGTGCTGCTCTAGACAAAGATATCCATGCATCTGTCAGTGAACAGATCAAGAAGACATTTGCAAAACAAAAATGGAGGGTAAGCCGATGGTGACTTTGTCTTCTGTCCATTGTCACTCACAGTCTGGGATCAAGAGTAAAGGACTTGTGTTTGACGCAGGCAGATTTAACGACCAAATTTTTATACTTGTTGATGAAAGTGAGCTGGCAGATTAAGTGTTTAGGTTAAATGTAGACCTGAAATAAGATCAGAGACTTGGGACATTTGGTCCATAACCGAATCTTCTTTGCTCTCTCAGACTACCATGCATACACACACATACAAACGTATACACACAAGCTCGCACATGTGCACACATATACACACATGCACACACCTTGACCAATGCCGTAACTTTAGTGATAAACAAACACAATGTTTCTATATGCATCGGAAGATTTCTGATTCTAATGGTACTTTTTTACATTCCAGCAAGCCTATAATGCCACCGCAGTTATACGTCAAATGCGTAAACTAGCCATGCACAACAAGGAGAGCGAGACGGGATGAGAAGAGAAACCGAGCAGCTAGATCTGTTCCACCTTGTTGTAACCCAGGTTTGATAGGGTGACGCATTTAGGACCTCCTTCAGCTAGACATCGAAGGAGTTAGACCCCATTTCTTTGACATCCAACCTATATATTGTGTATTGTGAATTTCATAAAACTCGTACGTCTGGAATGGAATGAACTTTTGCATTCTTCCATGGCATTGGTCAGTGGAGATTATGGAGAGATTATGACGCGCAGACCTCTTGACCAATAATTGGTGGATAGAGAACGAGGTTGATTTTGTTTGCCTGATAAATTCACAGGCAGTTTCTATATTATAATGGTAGTGGTAGGCCTGGGAGAGATTATGGTCAGATTGGTTGGTAGGTAGGCATCTTAAAACGATTTGTGGCAGGTTACATGTTCTGAATACTGGAATTAATGAAGTATGACTTGTGACCTTTTTTTACAGGAATGATGGCTGCGTGTGTAAAAGATTGTATCTGTAGGAATTATGATATTAGTACAGACACCTATAAAAGCTCTGAAGTTTTTAATTAATAAATAATAATACTTCTAATTTCTTTTAATACCATTCTGAATATAATGAGATTTACTTACAGATACTGCTACTTCTCAGTTCTTGATCTGTCTATCAGCTAAAAAAAACAGCTTTGTTAAAGTATGCTGTTGTCTGCATTTTTAAGGCATTGAAAATGACATTGATGTACATATAGCAGTTATAAGTCAGTTTTTCTTTTAATTTTTGTAAGTTTTCATTCATATCTTTGTGAGACATACTCAAATGCAGAAATTTTTCTGCGTCCTGATCTGGTGAACTAAAAGTGTTTTAAAGCTAACTACTTCAGGAAGTAGATCATTTGATTGCAAGCACCTATGACAAAATCCCTGAATTAATAATATGCACTTGGATTGGGTGAATTGAAGAATTACATACTCACTTTTTTAAAATAAAAAAATCTGATGTTTTCTTGAAGTATTCTGGAAAAGTTACCATCGTTTCTTATTTTTTTTATTACCCAGAATTCAGGGATGCAGATTTTTCAACTATCAGCTTTTTTTCCTCACTTTTTGGGAGCCAAAAATATCATTGGCCTAGGCAGGCCCCTGGACTCCACGCCATATATTCCAATTTTTTCACTAAATGGCAGTCTCGTCTCTGACAGTTGTGTTCATACACATATTCCATGCTTTGCTCCAGACAAAGAATTGCAAACAAACAATCTTCTTCCTGAAGTATGTCTTAAAACAGAATAAGTGAGAAACAGTTCTGCATGAGAGCTTGGATCTCAGACTTGTGTCTTCTTTAATAGGTTTAAATGAATATGGTTAGTACTTAATTTAAGGTTCAGCAAAGTTCCAGCTTATCTTCCAGTCAACAAAATCCAAAGCATTTTGACTGACAAACAAAGTTGCTATATCTTCAGTTGCAATTTCAGTTGTCTTGCCATTTGTTATGAATACTACTATGAAATGTGTTTTAGACTTAGTCAGTTACTTTTAAGATGAGGGTGGATTTTATCCCTGCTTGTAGTGGAGTTTTCATTATACCTTGCTTTTACCTAGTATATTATTATTATTATTATTGATCCTTTTTAACCCGTCTGTCTGATGCAGCAGTCATTTGTGTGGTGGTGTATATGTAAGAGATGGACACAGCAAGGACTGATGTTAAAATATCATGTTGTATCTGTTGACAAACCCTAACATTCCACTGTCAGGAAGCTTTTTGACACTTGTCAAGTACATATATATATCATTTTTTGTTATCAGCTTTGTGGAATTTTTGATTAAAAACTGCTAGAGATTTTTTTCAAAGATTTGATCAAAAACTGTAGAGATTTTTTCCAAAGCTTGTTGAGCCCTGGGCACAAATGAAAAACCGAGTGACATTGTCCTTGTAGATCAGATTCCGTTAAAGGAAAATTCTAGAAATCATTTGATACAAATGATTCAGAGATCTGTGTTCTGTGTTTGTAGCAATTTCCTGACCCTTTTTTTGTACAGTATTCTATATTTTAAGTGTCAACTTCACTGCAAGTGTTCCTTGTTTTATGATGTCTCCAGAACAAAGGTGATGTACCAACAGTGGATGTTGTACTTAATTTTTTTTTTTTTGTTTAGTTTTCTAATTCTGAATTGTGAATATTACGTATGTTACTACTTAAGGGACATTTGGGAATTTTTCAGTAGAAATTCTCCTATTATGTAATTTTGTTTTCATTTCACCACTAAGCCACTTCTTGCTGTTTACCCTCACATCGTTTAGTCAAGACATACACTATTTCTCAATTTGTAATATTTAATGGTTTATTCCCATCTTCAAATAGTACTTAGTGTTATGGTTTTCAGTTACACATAACTTCATTTGTCAGTTTGCAGACCATTATTGTTATTTCCTCTTTCCCATTTTATTTACAAATAAGCAGACAGTGCACTACACCATCCTAGTTGTGACCTTGACTTGTCACCACCAAGATAAAACTTAGCATGAGGTGACTTAGGAGGATTTGAACTTACATTTGATCAAGAAATGTTTTAATTTGAAGGGACTTCAGAATGTATTGAACTATGAGCCATCAGGACAGTTTACTCTAACATAATTGATTAGTAGATTTGAAAAAAAAAATGCGTTAAGGGTTTAGAAGAATTCTAGAGATTGTTAGATGGGACAATGTAGGAGTGACATTATTCAAGAATTCAGGTGGCTCATCTCACTGTAGAACTGTAGTTTTATGTGCAAAAGAGGAACCTAGTTTTACCATTTAAAAATCATACATTTTCTGATCAGGACATTTTTATCTCAATTTTATCAGCGTAGCAATTCTGAGCTCTGTCATTTCAGTTAGAGACAGCAGACATTGGAATTGCACCACTTTGTTGTCAACTATGTTGAAAGTATAACTACATTGACTATGTATACTGGATTTTATCTGCATGTATTTCTTGAATTTTGTACATATTTATTAATAATATTATACTTCTACTACTATTATAATTATTATATATAAATCTCCTGGACTGCTGCTCCATTGACATGTATATATTGAAGAGGAGCCTGTGATTTTCCTGTCCTATTCACACGTACTAGTCACACTTATCAAGTTGTAAACACCTATTTTTGTACCATTGCCCAACCTTCCAGGCTGATGAAGAAATGCGTACTGTCATTCATACCGGAGTATGTTATTATAATATTGCTGCACTGCCCCTCTTCTCTGCTAGAACAGAACTTATTTAAAATACGACAGAAATTGCTTCAAGTCTGGATGGAAGTTGTTTTATGTTATAATAAGTGGATTCTGGATCAAAGTGAACTGAAATTGATGTACTTTCCTTCAAGTTAAGTCCAATTTTTGGGTTCTTTTTCTTTTTTGAAGCATGGACCAGAACTCTGAAAAACATGCCTGTCCCTGCAGTGGGCACATGTAAAACTTTTATAGCAGTGTGGACGAACAAGTTTCAGAGATTTGAGGACTGCTTATCTCACAGGTCAACTAATACTGAAAGATGATATCTTTTAGACCAACACTGCTAGTCAATTTTGACAAATGATAAAACAGTAACTATTCCCTTAAATGAAACATTACACTCGTTTCATGGGAGAAACTAAAGAGGACAAGTCTCTAAAAAAATAATTCTGTAGTAAAAGTGGGGTTTGTAACAAATTGTCTTGTACAGATTTGAGTGATAAAAGCATATTGTTTAATTGCTAGCCTAAGGTTAGTTTTATTTGAAAGTTTAAGGTTGGGAACATTTTATTCTTGTGAACATAAATAGTGGTGTACTTTTAGCTCAATTTTGTCTTGTTTATTAGATACGTCGTGCTGCTGCACCCACCAGAAAATCCACTCAGAGATTTGAGATTTTTTTTCTTAGAATTCTCTTAGAAACTTAAATTTTAGAAAAACCAAAGTAATTCTGGTAATATTCCCAAATTGTTTTGGTGCATATACTCTATGTATTTAATGAGAAAGTAAGTTCTGTCATATTTTGTAAATTTTGACTGTTAGAAAATGTTAGCAACAGTGACAGTTCAATTTCTTAGTAATCACTTGATGCATGTAAGAACTATACACAAATTGGTCTAAACTCCAAGACCAAATAATAAAGTCAGCAGTGCTGTAATTAAATGGAGTATTTCTGTCATCTTATAGCATGAGAGACATGACATATCTCTTGACTTATATTTACTTTTAAATGTATATTGAATAGAAGCAGAACAAATTTGGGGTCTTAAGGTTAAAGCAAAATTTTCTGGTCTCACACACACGCATACATGCGCGCGTGCGCACACATCTCAAGTCAGTTCCAGTGGTTATCATCTTTGTTACCAAGGTTACATGGTCACATGCACACATCTTACCCTATCAGGAACAGTGTTACAGCATTCTTATGGGTATCCTAGTCAACAACGCCAAGGGCCTTGTTAAGGCTCTTCTGTGCAACCCATCTAGAGTTGTAGATTGAAACAAATGCACATAAAGAACTATAGTGGTCAGCATTTTACATATAGACCAGGGCTCCGTAACTCAAAACCATCGCGAATTGTGATAGCGATATTGCCTTTCATTTTGAGGCTATTATATGGGGCCAGTAAATCCCCGAGTTATAGAATAGAGACGCTTGTGCTCGGTCACAATTTGCATTGCTTTCGAGTTACTGAGCCCAGCACTGCATCGGAAAACTGCATTTATGCCAGAATATATAATAGCGAAGGACTGCCTCATAGTACTCCCATAAGTTTTGAGTCATCACTATGGGCTGAACTTCACGACTCGTTTCAGAACCCAGTTTTTGTTGATGAACTTCACAAGTTGCCTTGGCAGCAGCATCTTGGCATTTCTTTTTGTGTGACATTTTAATTGATAATAAAGTTATTATACACAACAATTTTGGCTTCCTTGTTAAACGATTTATACTTTCACGATTTATACTTTCATGGTCCATGGCATGACGGACCCAAGGATGTCCAAATGGAGCCAATTTGGCTTGAATATTTGAATTAAAAGGACTATTAATATTTCACTTTATCTGACAAGATAGTCCTGTGCCAAAAACTTTTCAACACTACTAGCATTAATATGGAAAATTGCATCTCCGATATTGCCAGATGTTTCAAGAATATTTAACATTTAATGGCAGCAGAGTATTTAAAAAGCTTACAGGCGTTTCTCATTTCGACTCCAGCTCTTAATTTTGCTTTCTCTTTGAATACACTATTTATTTTTATTTTCAAAGTATCAAACTTCAGTGATTTCACATTTGATTTCTAAGAGCTTTCTTTAGAATTTCAGAGGTACATTTTAAATGTAACTTTTTGCTGAGCTATGTATATTTTTTATGAATAAATTTTTTCATCAGTCAGAGTTTGAGAAAGCACTTAGAGGGATTCGTCTAAAGTTAATTCCAATTGAGCCTGTAAGTGGCATTAACTGCCACAGTGCAATGGTAAGTGCTGGCAGCAGTCAATCGCAAGCATCCACGTGAGCAAGAACAATAATGGAATCAGTAACTTTTATTTTGAACATTATCCATGTGTAAATCCAAATCGCCTCAAAATAAGTGCACATATAGAACTGTCTAAACCAGATTCAACCACACAAGGTTTGGCCCGCATGCACACACAATCCTGCCGAAAGTGTCACAGTCCCTCGAAGCTGCAAATGCTACTCAAATCAAAAACTCACTCTGTTCTAAAAATCTGACGCGCACATATCAGTTGTATTTCATAAAAACATGCTTTTGCTGCAAGACAATACTATCCTGCAGAACCTGTCCAGATTGAAGCTTACTGGTAATTGGTATGCAAAGATTTAAACGCAATGTGTGGCTGTCACTTTAACACCTTCAAACATATCAAGGACACTGTGTCTTTCCAAGTTGAGGACTGTAATAAGCCAGGTCCAGTGTGCTGGGCACAATTTTATTACTGAAATTCCAACACTTCTTTTCACAAAATCCTTTCAAATGAGCAGCTTTATAAATAGATTTTTCTAGTGAAGTTTTTTTTCAATTCAAACAATGATTTCCACTTTTTTTAGTTCCTCTTCTGATGGTAGAACCATCTGGTCTTCTGGTATATAGTTCTTATCAATCGGAGGCAGGCCTTCTTTTTCTCGTTTATAAAGATCTAAATAAGCTTCCCTCTGACTCCAATATTTTAATCTGAAAAAATAAAAGGAAAAAGGAAAAGAAAAAGAAAGCAGATTTTTCATAATGAATTTTCCTCACAAAGTTTTTCTGTTATTAGTCAGTTTCCTCAATTTTATTATTTATCATTTTAAGAAATACTTTGTTTTAGTAAAGGTAGAATTATTAATTGAAAATGGGAGAGAAAGGTTCTGAAACCATTTTTTCCATCCAAGGCTGAAAAATTGTGCAGGACTAGTAATAATTTTGAAGTAATCCACTGACAATATAAAACCACTGGATAGCAACTGTATTCATTATAAAATGTGCTGAAAGAATCATTTGCAGGAAATAAGTTAACTGCTATAAATTCCTTTAATTTTTAAGTTAATCTTTGCCTACTTTCATGTGATGGTGACTTAACTGTGATAAAAAACTTACTTTTTATCTGGCAAATACAAAACAAGAAAAGCTGATCCAACCACAGCTACTGTAATAATACAGAACAATGTGAGCTGATAGTCCATGCTGGCTTCTTTTTCTGAATCCAGACTAAAGCCAAAATTGATGGCATTCTGCAAAGAAAAAGAATTCAATTAAAACAATAAATTCGATAAATACATGTCCTCCCCCCACTATGCCAGGGCTTGACATTAAGGGTGGCCCACTGGCCCTGGGCCACTGAAAACCAACCTAGGGCCATTGAATTGATGGGGTCACTGGCCCGAAGACCAAGTAAAATGTCATGTGTCAAATCATCCTTGCAATATTTACCCATATCGTGGGCCAGTATCGAAAAAAGTTAGTGTCAAGCCCTGTATACATGTTTTATGTGAATGCTGATGCACTATTTCAAAATGCTCAATAGCAAAAACATCACCAATTGTGATATGAAAATATATTCCTCAGTTATTTGGACATGTATTCATAAAATGTAACTTGAAAAGGGTTTCAGACCCTCTGAGATTCAAATATCAAAATATATATGAATAGTTATAATAATAAATAAATATCACATAAATATTAAACGTAAGTAACTCGAAGAGTCCCTTTCTGTGGAATGACCTGAATTTAACATTTGGGTTTCACAATTCAGAATGGCCAAGCAATGCAAGACGCTGGTATTTCTCGACAATTCGACTTTATCAAGTTGTATCAATACTGTATCAAGTTGAATTATCAGAAAGTGACGAAAAGAGTCACACAGTTTTAAGCAAATCAGAGTACAACTAAACATGAGAGTATAGCTCAGATTCAGATATATGCACAAAAATATATCAGTACCTTAGGCTTTTCAAAAGAATTTACTGGAGAAGGGTCTACTTTTTCTAATATTCCTTCTGCCGTACCAACATCTTTCTTCTTTTTAGACGTCTGAATATGACACACTGACTGATGACACGGCCCCTGAGTGCGTAAAAAGTTTATGAGAACAGCACTCCGCCGAGACGACCGAAGAAGCGACGCCATTTTGAAACTTTCTTGAGACAATTTCACGAATAAAAGAGATTCAAAAATTAGACCAAAGATATTTATATAACATTAATATATTAAAGAGCACAAATTATCAAGCATGTATTTTACCTATAATGACAAAACCATCTTATTAAAAATAACTGCTAACGCATTCTCCCATGAAGCAATGCGGCATCATGGCGGCAAATGAAAGACCGAAATGAAAGTATACTTTTGAACACAAATCGTTAAGCAGCTGTTTAAGACCTATCCAAACAGAGATGCACAAGCAGGAATTGGTTTATTTTATTCATTGTAACAATGCTTCATTTAGGTTTATCTGTTACCGAGAATAATGGCCGCAAATCCTCTGTTTAGTGGCATAGGACAGCGTCGTTCTTTTTCCTATCACCAAGCCCGAATCCCGCTTGCGGCGAAAAGTAATAACAGTGCTGTTCTAACCGCAATGAGCGTTGGCAAGGGAGACGATGATCCGCCACCAGACAAGAGGAGAAAAGTCGCCGATGGCACTTCAGGTAACCTAGATCAGCTATGGGGCGAGGAAGAGGACGACTTTTGTCTCACCCAGGATCAACTAGATGACTTGGAATTGTTGGCCTCCCAACAACCGCCCACACAAGTTCAGAAACCAAGCCATGACACACGTGCCACACAACCGTCATCAGTCCCCCAAGCAAGTTACCAAAGTTCGTTACCAGCCCAGCCAACGGCTTCATTACGACAAACTAATGTTCGAGGTGGGAGTCAAATAGGAAAGGGCAGTGTTGTCAGTATGTCTGGACACAGCAGTAAACACAGTACACACTACCATCCTGTGCAGTCAAATATAACATTACCCATTGAAGACCTCAGTCCTACACAGCCATGGACTGCAGATAGATCAGGTAAAGAGATGCCCACACTTGGTCCTTCCAGTGGGAAAACATCTCCATCTTTGCCTGGTCATGATGGAAAGAGGTTTGGTGATGTACTGCAGAAGCAGAATGCTTCCCTCAAAGAGGAATTGGGAGCTCTTAAACTGGAGGTAGGTTGTGCTTTCATGCTTTAGCACTGCAAGTGCATATCTGAAATGTCAGTAGGAGTGATAGCCCATGAATTTCATGTTTATGATATAAATGTTAAAATCAGTTATATTTACTAACCCAGTGATTGTATATGTGGGCAATTGTCTTCAGCCAGTGCCAGAGGAAGCTGGTTAGATTCAGCAGTATTGGTTTACTATCTTGTGTCTACCTCTGGAACTTATATTTATGTCATTAATAATGTTGAAACTCAGAAAGGAGATTTTGTGCTAAACATAACTTGGAACAGATAAAGAATTAGATTATGTTGGAGACGGTTGGACGATAAGAGAAAATATTTGAAATCTTGATCATGATCTCTTTAAGAAATTTTTTGCACCAGTGTCTAATTAATCTGCATTCCCGCAAATATTTTCCAGCTAAATAAAGCAAAAGAAGAGCAGTATGGAAAAGATGGCCAAATCCAGATTCTCCGTAACAATCTGAACCAAAAGGAAGCCGAGCTTTCAAAACTAAGACAAGAAAAGCTGCACCTAGTGGAAAAACACACACAGGAGAAGTCCGAAAAGGAGAGACTGTTACAGAAAGATGTGGAAAAACTGTCCTCTCAACTTCAGTTCAAGGAGAGAGAGATCCAGGAGGTCCAGACGGTGTGTAGAAACCTGGAGCAGAGACTGAAAGGTCTCCAGAATACCGTAGAGAGTCCAAGACCAGTGGTGACATCTAGCGTCAGTCCCGGCCCAAGTAAAAAACCTAAAACTGAAGACAGTCCCCCAGGGAGTGTGTTCCCCACCTCCCAAACCTTCCACTCCCCGCCTCCCAGCCAGAGACTGAAGGGTAATATTGGTGCTCCTGCTGTTCAGGCTGCTACTGGGACCATGAAAGCAGGTAAATGTTGCTTAGATAGCAAATGATACAAAATATAATGATATGAAATGATACAAAATAAAACCAAATTAAAACCAGTGAAGATTTTGTATAACCCAGTTAATGAGTAGTAACCCTGGACTGGTTGTAGAAAAAGATAATGATTACAAAGTAGATTTGGAGGTTAATTGTTGTAACTTTGACTTTTCTTAAATGTTTTGAAAGTTTTTGAAATATTCATTAATACCAACTTCAAGTTTATAACTGAAATATCAAGTGAATTTCGATAAGTTAACACAATTTATTTACTTTGCATCTGCTATTCTACTCCATGCTGGAACATTTTATATACTCATTTAATTAAGTAAGTTGAATTAATTTCTTAGAGGACAGGAGCACCATGACGGGACCAGAGAGGTGTGGTAGAACACGCAGGATGAAGCTGAAGGTAGATGTATCTAGAGGTAAAAAACTGACGCTGATATTGATATTTTTAAAAGTGCCCTTGAAATAAGTTTAGCAAAGGATCAAGGGGAATATATGCTGAGCAATAAACAAAAGATGCTATGTGAATCATGTCTGTCCTTTCTCTCTCTCAAAATTACTGAAAGAGAAAATGTCATTCTGCAGTGTTTATCTTCAGTAAAATTTGCTGACCACTCTGTTGTGTAAAGATGGAAAAAATGAATAAATTATTTTTAAGAGACTAAGTGTGTTTTTTTACCTGTGAGATAAGTGATCCAAAGCCTTTTGACGAACTGTCTAAATGTCATCCCTCACAGGTAAAATGTGCTTAGCGTCTTAAGAAAAGTTTCTCTTGCTTTATCATATTTTGATTTTATTACTGAAGGCTGCGCCTCTGGCTCCATGGTGCTGTCAAAGTTGATGGTTGGTGACAGCCAGTCCACAGAGAGCATTGTGGGATTGTTGAACATCCCACCCGCTGCCACCGCTGTGAACACTAAACAAGACGGAGGGAGTCTGTGGTCACCAGTTCAAACAAAGAAGTAAGTACTGTGATATCTATTAAAGGTGTACTTAACATGTTTGAAAATGCCCAGACTTAGACGTTTATGTTTAAATATCCGACACAGCTACTAATCTATCCCAATTCAGACCTTTAAAATGATAAAAAAATCCTTAGATAAATGTCCATGATGTCCATAATTCCTTCTGAAAGAGACCGCAGTCTAAAATGTCTGGCCTGGCACTTGGAACAAACTATTGAATTTGAAATGGTATAAAGCACCAAATCCAAGTGCTGGGATGGGACGGACCAAGCAATGATTTTTTTAGTAGGAAGAAATTGTTTTTTCTCTAAGAAAATTGGCTTAGACACAAAAATCTCGATAGGATGTCATTCTTTTTCCCTCCCAAATAGAGTATATATCTTTATAGGTCCTCCAAGGTCCCCTCCTGTCCTGAACCAGAGAGAGTGGTCAGCTCTGGACATTACTCCCTGGCAGTTCAGGCCGTGAGAGATTTACTCCAGTCCCACGTAGACCAGCCCCAGATCAGCCACAGAGGGGGAGAGGCCCTGCTCCTTCCTATAATAGAAGACTACTTAATGTGCTACATCAACATGAGGCAGGGTACCACTGTTGGAACCTCCAGTAGCTCCCACAGTTCAAGATCTGGCAGTTTGGACAATTTATCTATAGACTCTCTGAGCAGTTCTATGAGGGGATTCTCACTGGCTGGTGAAAGTTTGCCTGGGACTATAAAAAGACTGGCTTTGAGTTCCTTGAGGATACTTCACAAGCTGGTGTGTTACAGTGAGCGTGTGCGTCAGGAGTTGATACAGACCAAAAATGAGCCCAAGGGTGTGGATGTGGTTGCCGCGCCTCTTAACACTGTGCTGGAGACTATACCCAAAAAGGTACAGGGTCTTTGTTATAGTCAAATAGATACAGGGCCATTGTTATAGTCATGAACAAGTAAGGTCATTGTCATTGTCAAAAATGTACAGTGCCACTGTTATGACTCAAAATGTATAGTGGTTCATGCACTGGATTTTGTTTCAAATGGGGTCATTTTTTTCACATGAAAGATTATTTCAGAATAATACACATTAATATGGGCTTATTTTTTCACAATAAAATATTATTTTTGGAATGGTACACATAAACATGTCTTATTTCTATCCTGTACAGGAGGCTAGTAATGGAGGCAGCAGTACCAGTGGGAACATCAGTACAGGACCTAGTAGTGGAAACAGATCCAGCAGTACTCTGAGCTCCTCTCTCAGTCTCAATGGTGGACAACATGTTCACTTTTCAGACTCTCACCTGCTGGGCCGGGTGATACAGTTAGCTAACCCAGCACAGGTCAGTGTAAGTACACTTGGAGAGTTTATGGAAAATAGTTCATGAGGCATCAGAATGCACAGGCCCTTTGTTTTTAGCGGTATCATTTTTGATGACATTGAAAATGCCTTGTCGGAGATCTTGTACAGTTGTCTTCTAATACATAATTGATTTTTATGTATTTGCTGAATGTTGTTGATAAGAGAGTTCTCTTGTTGAAGACCTAAGAATCAAAGTAGGTATTTGTTAAGAGCTATCCCAGATTTCTATATAAAATGTATTCATTAACAACTTTGATGATAAACCAATTTTCTCCTCATTTACAGAATAGTCAAGTAAACGAGCCAATAGTGGAGTCTTCCTTGAATGTGTTAATAGCTTTATCTAGACACAGTGAACCAAGACAACTAAACAGGTGAGGAGTGTTGTCATAGTTTGTGAATTTATCCATATAAGCTTGCTGCTAACTGGGACTGATGGGGTAGAGAAAACTACTGGCTTTAGTCAACATTTACTAGTTGGAAGCTGAATTTATGGTGAGTGATTAATTTGGGGTTATTTGATGACTTGTGGATTTCATTTCACTTGCGTAAGAAACTGGTAGTAGTAATTTGTCTGTATTATGGCGAATGTACACAGTTCTACTCTCACTTGTTATATATCTTTTTAAAATATGTCTCTCTCTCTCTTCAGACTGTTACCAGTTCTATCAAAGGGAATCTTATTCAACTGTCTTAGTCCAGATAACAAGCCTGGCCTTAATGTGATGTCCAGAGCCTTGGAACTTTTGAGACTTTTAGTGTCCTGTAGACAGTTTGTAACTGCTCACAGCCTGTATAACCCAGGTAAGGGTATATGCCTTTTTCCAGAGAAATTATCAACCATTTCAATTCGATTTTATGTCTGTTAATGGTTCGATTTTTTCAGTCTAAATTATTATGGTGTAACATAGTAGTCATCATGGGAACAATTAGTCTAAAATGAAATTTTTTATGAAACATACCTGTTGGTTTAAGTAATACCTGACACTGTGTCCCAGCCTTCAATAAAGACCCATCATCTTAATCTGACTCAGCATAGTAGAAGGTAAAATGTGAACTACTCGTAGCTATCACTTAAGTTGAAAAAACAAGTCAAGTTTTGGACTTAAAAAGTAACAAAACAGTGAACAAATGTTACAAACACTGTTCTTCATTTCAATGGAAAGATGGGTGTCAGTGCCCCAAAGTGCTGGTCATTTGAGAGGTCAGATGGCTGGGTATCTGCTCCATACAAATTTCTGTTTCCTCTTATGGTGGGGTAGTGCTAACACTCGGCAATTTAGCCAAATGCCAAAACTGATTTAATTTGGCTAAACAAAAGATGGTTGATTTGACATGTTTTAGTCAAATTTAAACCATTTGGAGAAAAAAAAGTGATGAAAAAAATTGCCAGCTCTACCCCAGTTATGGTATAACACACTATTAGTATGTATTAGGACCTTCTCTCCCTACACATGGTTTTCTTCCATTCCATGGCTGTTCTTCCAGATAGCTGTGTGTTAGCTGCTGTGTATAACCTGGGTGGACAACCTCTGGAAGACCTCACTGTGACAGATAGAACTGCCTTGAGGACCAAGGTTGGTGGGGGAGTGGGGTGTTATATCACTGTCGTTAGATCGCTGAAAGATCTCCAGTGATTCATGCCTGATTCATTGTTAAATTTATCAACAGTGCATTTGTTTTATTTCAGCGTCTGCATATAAATGGTAAAAATTTTATTGTGTTTTAGTAAAATATTAGGTAATTAGGGTTGATCATAAACTTTCACTTACATTTTATGAAAAGATGTTGTCTGAATGTGTGGGAAGGAGAAATGGCTTAAATGTGTATTAATTTCTTTTAGAAGTGTTATTTTTATTTTAGTAGTCTTTTTTTCCTCATTTCTAGATAATAGAACTACTTTGTGCAATAGCTTCAAGCCACCCAAATGGTACTGGATTACTTGTGGAAGCCAAGTGTCCCTGTAGTGTGGAGGTAAGGTTTTCAGCTGAAGTTCTTTGCCACTACACATTTACTTGTTTGCCATTACTTCTTTACCCACTCTCCTCCAAATGATTTTATGCTAAGTTGTGAGTTTTTACAAATATCTTAGATGATTTCAAAAATTTTTAAGTGTCTGCGTAACTCTTGAGTGTTCCCCGGCTGAAGAGATTCAACCTGAAAACTTGGGTTAAATTGACCCCCCACCCACCCACCCACCCACCCACCCACAAAAAATAAAAATAAATGAATGAATAAATAAATAAACTGGTGAAATAGAATATCCTGTACTTTTGTACTTTACTCTTTGACTTCATCAATATTGTCTTCTGTAGTTTAGATGTGAGCATGAATTCATTCAGCATTCGTATGGCAGCCGTGAGCCTGGAGATAATGTCCTTTTGTACTTTCAATTTTGCTCACTTCCAGGTGGTCCGTACCGTGGTCCTTATGATGCACAGTGAGCTAGAGGTGTTCACCAACACTCAGAGAGGCCAATCTGTCCCGTCCCTACTCCGCAGTGGAGTCTCCTTGCTGCATGCATTGGCCAGCTCTGATAGGCTGTTTGAAGAGCACCGTAAGGAGGTTGGGCATCAGTACTTAGAACTTCTGTCTTCCCTGTCTTTGATTTTCAAAGATCATGTGGGAATTCCAGAAACTGAAGGTACCTGTTTACTAATATCTGTTTTCTTTATGTTATTGGTTTTGCATTTTGAGACTTTGTAATTTATATATATAATAAACTCTAGAAGGTGCTCTGGGCATTTTGTAGTCCATTTGTGAGTACATGGGTGTCTCTTGCTTTAGATCTTTTACATTAAAAATTTTTTGAAAAAAAAAACAGCATTCCGATCTGCAAGAATAATTGTTTCATGTAGCTGTTAAGTAGTAGATGACAGGTCTTTGAACATCATTGAATTAACAATTTACTTCCCATCTTGTGCATTTCTTTTTTTGTGCCTTATGGCTTTGTCCCTATTTTCAGTTAATGCTTTGAAAGATTTGTTACATGAAGAGGAGAGTGAAGAGGACGACTGAAGGCAGTTTTGTGCATGGCCTTGCAATGTAGACATTTCAACATGTTTCGTAAAATAGCCCCAGTTTCAATAGGAGTATCAGCTGAGAGAGCCTACAGTCTTGTGACAACCGTGATTTAGCAGAATATAGACATGGGTGAAAGTTTGCAGGATTTTGTCTGATTGTGGGATTTTCCGTCCACCATTTGATTGTTTTTTTTT